AGTGTATTACATTTATTGTAAATTTTCTAAATAAACAAACAAATAAATAAATAAGTAATGCACTTTATTTCTATAATTATATTAGATTAGACCAGTGACTTTCTGCTTCTAAGAAAGTGAGAAGGAAAAGAGACAGTCCTAAACTCAGCCTTACAGCAAAACTCTTTCCCTTCCCCCATTGCAAGCCGGATAGGAGTGCACGAAGAAAGGAGGAACACACACACACACACACACACACACACACATACAAAATACACCAAATTAAACCTTGAAAAGCAGGTAGGATGTTACATAAATATGAGGCACCTAGAGCAGTGGTGACAAACCTATGGCACACGTGCCAGAGGTGGCACGTGGAGCCCTCTCTGTGGGCACGCGCCATCACCCCAGCACAAGTGGTCTCTAAAAGTTCTCCATCACTGGCCTAAGGCAAGCCACCTGAAGCCGCCAGTGGGGAGCCTACCATCCCACCCGTCAGAGACCCCTGGATCTCCCCCAACCCTGCCTGGCTCTCACAGGGTCCCTCCCCATAAGCAACATCAAGGTAGCCACGCCCACCCCGGCCATTCCCACCCAATCTATCATGACTACTGCAGCCACAACCATCCAGTGGCCACGCCCACCCAGTCTGCCAAGCCCACTAGCTGCACCCGCTGAGTGGGCCACACCCACCTGGCACCTGGCGATACATAAGTGGGTTTTGGGTTGCAGTTTGGGCACTCAGTCTCTAAAAGGTTTGCCATCATTGACCTAGAGCATCAAAATAAAAGCAAAAAACTTCAGTTGAAATGCAACAGAGCCCAGCAGTCTTAGAAAAGGTGCAGATGAGAGAGAGAAAATCCCTTGGAGATGCAATGCTTAAGATGAAAGGTTGTTTCTCCCTGCCCCCGTTTGCACCCTGAGAAAGACACCCTCACATACACATACCTTGGGGGGGGGTCCCCTCCAATGAGGCTTTGGGGAAGCCCCTGGTTGCAAGCAGGGCTGGCACACATTTGTCTTAGAAACTTGGAGAGTTGCAAGAAGGGAGCGCGAGCCCAGCTGGGGTGTTGGGAGGAGGAGAGGAGGAAAGTGAAGAAAAAGAGGAGGAGGAAGAAGCAGCAGCAGGGAGAAGAGGGAGCAGGAAGAGAAGGAGGAGGCAGAAGGAGAGATAGCAGAAGAAGCAGGAGGAGGAAGGACACGGAGCTCAGATGTTGCAAACCACTTACAAGCACAGCCGTTGGAGGACCTTGCACGGAGCAAGGCGGCTTCTGCCCTGCCACTCTCCCACCCCTGCCCAGACCCCTGCAGACTTGTCGCATTCATGAGGGTGGATGGTGCACCTCCAGCTGCACAGCCCGGTTCCTAAGTGCCCACAGCCCAGTTCCGGTCCACGGACTGGGGGTTGGGGACCCCTGCCTTAAAGTATATGCAGCTGACCTGGGAAAATCATGATGTACTTTTCCTAAGCCTTTAAGAACATATGGCTGTCTTGGAGCCTCAATGAGAGGCTTTGGAGGAATATGCAGATGGAGGAAGGAGTAGTAAATAATTCATGAGAACTCCATTTCTATGGAGCTAGGAAGATAAAATACCGTATGAGGCTGTTAATAGAATTTTGTATGAGGAGAACAGCTATAAAGCATACCTACAGAAAAGATGAACTGGATTTATTTGAGAACAGGTATAACATTTCTAACTGTATAAAAGTTTCATGTAATAAAGCAAATACAAATTGGGGTAGAAATTCTTATAAGATGCAACCGACAATTCAAACTATACCAAGTTTAACTGTACTAAATCAATATAAAAGGAATCCTCTAATCAGAGATACATAACTATTTGGATTTAAAGTGAAGAGGGCACTTCAGACATGCACGTGTCATCTCCTTCTTAAAGGAACTAGATCTTTTCCATGACACACAGATAATCCTTGAGTTATGACCATTCATTCAGCAACTGTTTGAAGTTACACCAGAAATGGAAAGGAAAAAAGCAAAGCTAAAGAGGAAGCAGTCCCTTACTTTGCTGTTGCTGGGACTGGGAGGGACCAAGCCTGGAATGGCTTGGATGAGATTGGGTTTTATGCTAATACTGGTAATGGGGAGTGCCATTGCTAAGTGATGTAGTTATGTGACATCACCGTATCACATAGCAGCAGAAATTCTAGTCCGAATTACGATTGTAAGTTGAGGATCATCTGTGTATAACACCTGTGCAGTCTCAGGAAAATTGTGTTTGAGTTGAGATGACAATAGTGTATGACAACCCTGCCACAATCTCAATTGGCACTTCCTTGACTTAAACACTTATTTTCTCTTTTCACTTCTGACCTGAATAGTTGGACATTTCTGCATCTCATGCATATGAGGAGTAGCAGCTTCTGAAAGAAATACGTAATTTTATATTCTGTTTCAATAATAGAATTGAGAACTAATATGCTCTGAATGACATAATGAGAAATATGGAAGAGCTGGATGGCTAAGCAGTCAGCTGCCTTGCCAGTTTTTAGTTCTTTCTTCCTTAGAAGTGTTTTTTCTTTTTCTTTTTTGAACTAAATAGTAAGTCTTTAATGCACTAATACTGGTAATACGTTGCTTCCTGCTGCGTTCCTAAATCGCTAAGTTGTCGAAATTTATTAGAAATTGTTTAACTGTTGATTTAAATTATTTATATTATATATCTATTAAAACCTTTGACTCCTCTCATAGATGTGAGTGTGTGTATGTGCGTGCGCGTGCGCGTGTGTATGTCCATTGTTTCTTTGGTACTTGATGGGCAAGCTAGAACTTGTTGGTTTTGTCTGCTTGTGACCTACTACATTATTCCTTATAGGAAAACTTTGTTTTCATTGGTTTTGGTACTCATCGCGCTTCCCAGAACTAATTAACAATGAGTACCGAGGTACCACTGTAGTTAAAATTCATTTAAGATTTCATTTTTAGATGTGTTGCATAATCATATTAAGTATAGAAATGCTTATTAAAATTTGATTGCACTTAAGCCTGAATTTGGCCGTGCAAACTGATTTTTGCTGTTCAGTTAAAATTTTACTAGATTTCAAAATGTTTTTAGCTATGTTCATGTACTTTGTATAGCTCACTTCTTAGCACATTATCTAAAGAAAAAATCTATCAAACTCAATGCAAGAAAAAGAACTTATGCTCTTCTGAATAAGACTAAAGCAACTTCCAGCTTCAGATAAGTAATAGTTGCATTTTGGTCAGTGGATTTCATTGGAACATGTGAATCAAATTTGTGCTATGCCAAAAATTGGTTGCTTTTTGGCTTAGTATGTTGTGTGAGAAATCATCTATAGGAATTTGAAAACCATAGTTTATAGTTTAGTTCTATAGCAAAAGTACTGATGCTTGCTTTTAATACTCTGATCGTTGTAATTTGTAGGGGAAATTCTTGCTGCTTTAGCCAATGTATCAGGACGCAAACATCCATCAACAGTTCAGGCCAAACAACTGAAAGGATGTCTTCCAATGATGCCTGTGGTACTTCATCTTGTGACATCTCAGGTATTGTTACAATGTTACAATTGTTATTACCTTGCTGACTTCTTTTGGAAAGCGTTTGCCTCTATCCTATATGTTATTCCCTTTTGGAGAAAGTATCAATTTGCAAATGGCAGAAGAAAGGTAAGATTACAGTAGTAACCAAAAGGAATTAGGTGCAGAAGATGGGAGAAAAGGAAAGGAAATCTAATTAAATCCAGTTTGTGGCATTACTGTTCACTCTAAAATTGGTCATTGTGAGATATCATCAGTTGTTAACATTGATCAGTTTTGTCACAAGAATTCTTCAGATATGTAAATTATGCATTCATAATTTTTATTTTCTAGATCAATAGACAAGATAATCAAATATAATCAGCTAGCATGGATACTTAGAGAATTGTACTCTCTACTTCTTGCCTATTTTTATTGTCTGCTTCCCTTGACTACTGTTGGAAGGGGAAGGAAAGGAAGACAAGAAGCCCTTAGGGAATAATATGAATAATACGAATTGGCAAGATAAAAGGCTTTTTGTCACCCCCATTTGTGCCTATTTGAAGTACAGATAGTACACAACTTATAACCACAATTGGAAACAGAATCTTGATCATTTAATGGTCATTAAGCACAATGCCCATGTTACCATTTTGCTTAATGACTACAATGTGCTAAGCAACTGCATGGGTCATTAAGTAAACAGAATTCAAGGACAAGGAACCAGAACAACTCTGTGAATAAGCCAAAGCCGTTTCTTTATTGCTGATCAATTATTATTTATATAGCGTATAATGAGAATATGACAGAAGAAAAGTAAACATATACACTCTATCCATGTAATTATATACAAAACACCTACAACAATATGGTTGTGGCCTCATAATTGGATGTCCAGTTCAGCTATCCAGGTAATTGCCTCTGCCAATATCTTCGTCCAGATATTTTAGGGAACCAGAGAACGCAAGTTGTGGACAATCTTGCACAATATGTTTAATGTTTGCATATAAGCATCACAATTGCAACAAGGGGAATCTTTCCATCTCAAATGATACAGGGCAGAGATACCTCTTCCAGTATCATACCTAATTCTGTTCAATTTCAACCTAGTCCTTGCCTGGCTGGCTGGCTGGCTCACCATTCTTCTCATCCTCCTCATTCATTGAGCGGCAGCGGCTTGAGTTTCTCTGTTCCAAGTGAAAGGAAATGGAGGCGCAGAGCAGGATTGCTCTCAATAAGGCTGGCACACGCAACGCATCTGCGTCTTCTTGAGAGCAATCTTGCTCTGTGCCTCCGGTTTCTTCCTTCGGGATGGAGCAGAGAAGCTCAAGCTGCTGCTGCTCAAACACTTTTTACCCAAATGCAGACTTGAGAGAGATTGGAAAGTCCATGTGTCTGCAGTGGGGCACTTCAGAAATGGAAATGAATGCTCCGTGTGTTTGCTTGAAATTCCATGTGACTCAGGTCTCCGTTCGGATGAAAGATGTTTAAACGGCAGGTTTGAGTTTGTCTACTCCTTCTGAGTGAAAGGAAATGGAGACGCCGAGCAGGATTGTTCTCAATAAGGCTGACTCACTCCAGAGGCTTGTTTTTGTTAGGAAGGGCTTGAGAAATGGCTTTTTCCTGCAAAAATCTAGCCAAAGAGCAAGGAGCACTTGCTCCAGAGGCTTGTTTTCACTAGGAAAGGGCTTGAGAAATGGCTTTTTCCGGTAAAAACTGAGCCACATAGCAAGGTGCGCTCGCTCTGGAGGCTTGTTTTCGCCAGGAAGGGGCTTGAGAAATGGCTTTTTCTGGTGAAAACGAGGCCACAAAGCAAGGCGCTCTGTTTCTAAGCATGCATTTGCATGCAGACAGAGCTTCCAGTTTCCCCAAGGTCTCTGTCCTGGTGAAAATTGTTCCAGCAGTGGCGAAAAGGAGTTGGCGGCAGGAGCAAATACCGCAAGAGTTCAGGCTCCCATTCTTTGCAAAAGAGGATCGATGCCTGAACTCGCGCGATATTACGGGCACCCAGGAGCTTCCATTGACTTTCCTCTCCTTCAAAAGCAGAAACCGCGGCAGAGAAGAGACGGATCATTTTAGGGTGAGTCCAGCGCAGGGGGAAGCATGAGTTATCTTAGTGAGTTGGGGAGGCCTTGAGGGTCTATCTATCATTAGCCCCCCCCCCCGGTCTTCCCCAGCCTAAGATACCTCATGTGCATCTTAACGAGCAAGGGAGTGACCTTGTTCAAAGTACGAGATTCACTCTACGAGTTTTTGAATTATGAGTGGAATGGGCAGGCTCCATTATACTTGTAACTCAAAGACTACCTGTAGTGATCATATAAAAAAATAGTCTCTCATGGCTTTTTTTCTAGTTGTCTTGTCCATTAAGCCCAACAAGAAAAGAAAATCTGGTTTCAGTTGGATTTTGGTTCTTAATTTTTTTGTATATATTTCTATTCAAAATGCATTTGATTTTTTTTTACAACCATCACAATAAAATTATCTTTTGTTTTGCCTACATTTCCAACATAAATGTGAAGTACACATTTTTGCTAATTTTTCTGGAACCATATACCAGCAGCACATCATTTTATAGAAGTTCTACTATAACATAATGTCAACATAATATTTATTGTACTGTATATCCAAAATTCTAAATCTACTTTACCATAAACTCTTCTTCTTCTTTGTTCTCCATTTCAAAGAGGACATTTTTTGTCCTCACCAGGAATTTATAAATTTTGGCAATTACATATTCATTGTTTGTTTATAATTCAACTTCACATTTATCCTTTATTGCTCAGTTACAAATATTATCTTAAAATATCCACATTGAATCTTAGCATGCATACAAAAACCTCTGAAAACTAAATTCCTCTGCAGCTAATTTTTCTCTTATTTTCATTTTATACTCTCCATGTTCTTGTTCTAACAAATTTTGATAGATTTACTATTTCTCTCTTCCTCCTTTTCCCCATAAAATGCTTCTTATGCTGAGAATCGTAAAAGCATTTTCAGCCACAGTCTGGGCTTCTATTTGTTCTATAAACTCAGTGTCACTTCTGACATAGCGATTTTTAAAATATTAGCCTCAAATTAATTGTCCTGTAAAAAACCTTATCTTTGTCATACTATAAAAAATATGCTACCCAAGTCTCAGATCATTCCTTTTTAATTCTAGAATTCTTTTATTTCTCAGCAGCGCATTTCTCAATGTTTTAATTTTAATGTTTAAGGGTTATACAAATTTATTTATAATTGTATTGTTCTTATTTTGCACTGCCCAAAATAACATTCATGAGATGGCGAGCTATGTAAATTTGATATAAACTTTAAAAGTCCAAACAGTTTTTTCTGCTTGTTAGACCAGCGGTCTCCAACCTTTCTGGCTTTGTGGACCAGCTGGGGGGAAAGAAGGGATGGTTTTGCGCGAGTGACAGGTGAGCACGCACGTGTGTGCAACTCCATTTGCCTGAGTGGCGGGCATGCGCACCTGCCGCTCATGCATGCTGCTTCTGTAAGTGGAGTTGTACACATATGCGTGCTCGCCCACTGCTTCCATGGTCCAGTTCCATAATTAATAAATGACTGTTTATCAGTAATTAAATGACATTTAAATTATGTTGTATAAACATGTTTATTATTCAAATACTTATTATGTTTTCTAATGCATATAGATATTTCGCCCTCAAGTTGTAACTGAAGAGTTTCTTTGCAGCTATGGAACTTTGTTGGTCAGTAACAGTTTTCATTCATATTGTTTAAAATATGGTGAATGTACTGAAAATAAAAACAATCTTTATTAACAATATTTATTCTTATATATTAGATGCAAATATCTTAATTTCATGTAGTATTTTTTTCTCTCTAGTATATCCTTGGGAAAAAGGAGTGACTCTTTCCACAAAAAAATTGCAGAGTTCTTTTTTAAAAAACAATTTAATTTTGGTGAAATTTGATTCCTAGAAATGTGCTCTAAATTATATATGATGGCTGCTAGTATGAGTAAACTGAACCTCTGAACCTCTCCAAGGAGGAGTGAGAGTGTGTTTGGCCAAAGCAAAGAGAGTTGGATTAGGAGATCTATAGGCTAGATCCAGTCAGCAGTGGAAATGAAAATCTTGAAGTAAGCTCCTCAAATAAAAACATGTGCACTGTATAAAATCGGAGTATTGGTGAAAAGCCACTCAAAATTCAGAAATCCATTGGCTCATCAAGTTCCTTTTCCATATACACAAAGTATTGAGGATACCTTGCTTTGTATTGGCATTTGTGAGCCAATTGTTTGATAAAGTAAATCACAATCTACTACTTGACAAGATAGAAAAATGTGGGATAGACAGCATAACCACCACATAGATCCATAGCTGGCTGACCGGCCGTACTCAGCCTGTGGTCCTCAACAGGACCGCATCTACATGGAGGGAAGTGTGTAGTGGGGTGCCCCAGGGCTCTGTTCTGGGCCCAGTGCTCTTCAACATCTTCATCAATGATTTGGACGAGGGGATAGATGGGGAACTCATCAAATTTGCAGACGACACCAAGCTGGCAGGAATAGCCAACACCCCAGAAGACAGGCTTAGAATACAGGAGGATCTGGACAGACTTGAACACTGGGTGCTATCTAACAAAATGAAATTCAATGGTGAAAAAAGCAAGGTTCTACATTTAGGCAAGAAAAACCAAATGTACAGGTATAGTATAGTATACTACCTTGCTCAATAGTAGTAACTGTGAGAGGGACCTCGGAGTCCTAGTGGACAGTCACCTAAATATGAGCCAGCAGTGTGCTGCAGCTGCCAAAAAGGCCAACACAGTGCTAGGCTGCATTAACAGAGGGATAGAATCAAGATCACATGAAGTGTTAATACTACTTTACAATGCCTTAGTAAGGCCACACTTGGAATACTGCATCCAGTTTTGGTCACCGTGATGTAAAAAAAGGTGTTGAGACTCTAGAGAGAGTACAGAGAAGAGCAACAAAGATGATTAGGGGACTGGAGGCTAAAGCATATAAGGAACGGTTGCTGGAATTGGGTATGTCTAGTTTAACGAAGAGAAGGACGAGGAGGGACATGATAGCAGTGTTCCAATATCTCAGGGGCTGCCATAAAGAGGGAGTCAAGCTATTTTCCAAAGCTCCTGAAGGCAGGACAAGAAGCAATGCATGGAAACTAATCAAGGAGAAAAGCAACCTAGAACTAAGGAGAAATTTCCTGACAGTTAGAACAATTAACTAGTGGAACAATCTGCCTCCTGAAGCGGTGAATGCTCCGACACTGGAAGTTTTAAAGAAGAGACTGGACAGCCATTTGTCTGAAATGGTATAGGGTTTCCTGCCTGAGCAGGGGGTTGGACTAAATGACCTCCAAGGTCCCTTCCAACTTTATTTTATTTATTTTATTTATTTATTAAATTTATATCCCGCCCTTCTCCTTGCGGACTCAGGGCGGCTGACAATCGATTTAAAAAACATAAATAACAATTGCAGAATTAAAATTAATTAAGAAGAAATATTTAAATATCGTCTAATTAAAATATGATTAAAACCCCTCTAAAAATTGCCCTAGGCCAGTCCCGCTTGTTGGAATAGCCATGTCTTTAGGGCGCGGCGGAAGGAAGGGAGATCAGGGATCACCCTGATCTCTGGGGGCAGCTCATTCCAGAGGGTGGGAGTTCCCACAGAGAAGGCCCTCCCCCTTGGGGTCGCCAGCCGGCACTGTCTGGCCGACGGCACCCTGAGGAGACCCACCCTGTGGGAGCGTACAGGCCGATGGGAGGTAATCTGTTGTTGTTGTTGTTGTTATTATTATTATTATTTTTATTATTATTATTATTATTATTGAAAATTAGCAGTGGACTTGTAAGAATGGTAAATGCAAATTTAAGCTGCATCAAGTACAATTTCTAAACAGGAATTTTGTAGCAGACACATTTGTGGCAGCTCCAAGTCAAGATCTTGTAATATCTCATCAGATTATAGTAAACTTTATTAAAAGATTGCTACAGCTCAGTTCATCAGTGAAATGGAGTAGCTAGACTAATCATTGGATGAAGAGAAGGAGGAGAAACTAAAGAGAGGCTGGTTATGCAAATGCAGATGTATTTGACATAATGAACAGAATGGATTTTTAATATGTTACAAGTTGACTGATAAAGTACTTAATTTGTCTCACATGTAGTCTGTATTTGTAAGTTATACTTTGAGCACTATCTCAACTTTTCTATTACAAAGATAAATAAATAATGTGTCAAATTCATCATTTTTCTAATATTCTCCCAAATTCAAAAAACTATTTCATTATTTGACCTGATAAAAATTAAGAAATATATGTATAGCAGTTAGATTTTGCTTCTCTAAAATATAAACAATACAAAAGCCATGGGAATAATAGGAAGGTATTTATTTCTCCCATAGCATTAATATTTTATTTTTGCCTGTTCTCAGGTGATTTATTCAGGTTATTCTTAAATATCAATTTAATTTTTAGTTCTTACTTCCATAGAGTACATCCTCAGAGAGACATAAATAATAGAAAGTCACAGTTTTTTTTTAATGAACTAATCTCTTCATAGTTATATCTTAAATCTCAGGATTTCTTTAGAAAATTATTATTTATTACCTACTAATAAAATATACCTTTAATTCTTTGGTTTTATCTAGAAATTATCTTTTTTAATCCTCACTATGCTAATTCAGTACCCAATGGCATTCATCATGCTATAATGTCAGAACTTCAAAATTATGTGACAAAAGTAATAAATCTGAAATACTAAGGCTGCAATAGTATATTCTCTCCTTTTTTAGGAAGTCATGTTCTTTATTTATTTTCATGTTTATTTTAATTTCATTTTATTTTTATTTTTGTGTATTATTTTTTCCATGTTACTATCATTGTTATGTAGACATTCTATATTATTTTTATTAAGCAGCTGTGTAAATCTTCAAAGTGAGAAAGAATATGTTAATATACATTGATTTTTACATTTCCCTCTTCAGAATTTTATCAAATTGATAGATTCAGGTGAAACTAACTTGGATGGAGCAATAGGTAAGTATTTTCAAGATAGTGTTATTTACCATCTATAAACACATTTTTCTTTGATATCTGAAATATATATTATCTTTTTCCCCTCACCCAAACAGGCCAAACAGCTTCGGAAGAACTGGTTAAGACTGTTTTATTAATATTTGAAGCAATAATTCAACATCCAGCATTGCTGATACTTTACTATTCAACAGTAAGTGGTGGTACAACCTTAAATAGATACATGCTTACTGATTGCACTTTTACTAGTGTTTCAAGTTTTTAATCAGGTGTAATGGCTTTAACTGTCTTAAATGAATTTAGTATGAAATACTTTCAAAATTATTTTTGAGTAAAGTTTTTGTAGTTTAAAATTTGCCATCATTTTTGTACAAAATTGGAAAAAAAATTGATATTATGCATTTGATAGTGACTTATGTCAATTTTTAATAATAGACTATAGTTTTACATAATACAAACTTTAATTTTTCTTTTGTTGACTGGCTGTATCAGCGAGGGGACTTTTATACAATTGTTTTGAGTAAAGATCAAACCTCAAGGACAAATTTAGGTAGTCCTTGCTTAATGACATTTTGAAGTTATGACAACCTCGGAAAGGATGATTTACAGCACGAAAGTCCCTGACCATTACAAAATGTCATACAGCCTCCCTCCATGGTCACATGATTGCAATCTATTTGCACTTTGACCGATTGCCAAGTGCCCAGCAATCACATGATTTGCCATTTGCAATTTTTTTGTTGGCCTCCCCAAAAAGCCAATGGGAAGCTATCAGGGAAGATTGCAAGCTGCAAGCTGAGGGCTAGCCAAAAGACTTCCCTGCCAAACCATGCCTGCAATTGAAATCATGCAAGCACATATCTTAATATCCTCTTCCCTCCTCCCCACTTCTGTGGAATTCTCTGTAGAGGTGGAGTGATAAGGATCCCAAGCTCTGTGCTTCAAGTTCTGTGTTTGATTTTGGCAGCCAAAATGTATATTTCATGACTGAAACAGGTGGTTTATGTTTGACTGTATTAATTAAGGAAAGTAGGGAATAATATGGATGATAGACAGTCTTGAATTAAAAATATAAACCCAGTAGTTGTTTTGCAATTAGTTAAAGTAAATATGCATTCTGACCAAAGGGTACTTATGTACTGAATGCAATTCTTGGATTGACAATAATTAGCAAATATCTAATAGATTGGAAAATGTGGACTGAAAATTATGAGCCCGTAAAGGTTATTTGAATTAATTTGACTTACTAACTTTAATTTTCCTGGTATCAGTTCCCACAATGACAATGTACCCCATACAACAGTGATGATGACAAACAAGTAAAATATTTAAAAACATAATATTTGGAAATAAGACGCAGTTGAAATATATTGAGCATAACTCATATGACAAAAAATAATTTCCTCAGGTTTGAAGGTATACTTTTTCTGGACTTTTGGCTTCAGTAAATGATTTTATTTCATAAAAAGATGTTTAGTTTGTGTATATTGTGTATCACTTGATATTATATGCAAAGTTGAAATGAGCTATTTCAAAATACATAACTCTAGATCACAATCTTGATCAGCAGTGAAATCATCCTGTCAAAACAGGGATTAAGAAATTTAGAGTCCTTGGGTATACTTTCATGAGAAAAAATTTTTTTTACATCACTGTTGATTTTTATCAAGAGAGCTGACAAGTATATTCACACCATTTTATAATATTTATTTATTTTCTTATCACAGCTGCTATGCTTTTGATTTAAGCAATAAAGAATTTTACTTCCCAAGATATCATTTTGCTAAGTTCAACAATCTTTTTTAAAATCTTTTTTTTTTACTTCAGCCATTATGTTTGTAAAATAATTTGTTATGAATTCAGTCAGGATAAGTGGAAAAATGAGCCATAGTTGGAATCCTCAAAGATCTGAAAAGCTATGATAGGCATTTTCAGTTTATTAAAAAATAAGTCTTTGATCCTCATGGCCATATTATGCCTCAGTTACTGATCTAGGGAAAATTTCATCAGACAAGAACTTATAGCCCCCATTTTATTTGAATAAATAATGTAAATTATGTAAGCATAATAAAATATGAAAAATATTTTGTACTAATACTGAAAATAAAAAAATAAAATGCATAACAGAGATACATGTTCAGAATGAAAATCACATGTTTTCTTTAATATAGAAAGAATCCATCTGTACAACTTATCTATTAACTTTTATATTGTTACTTTATTTCATAAAAAGCAAAGTAGGTTAATTTTTCTTATAGATATGATTAAGTATGACTGATAGCTTTATAAAGTTTATAATGGGGAACTGAATAGAGATTGCAAGTTTAAGATTTCAATTTTTTAAAATGTATGAGTAATCTAAGTCAGACGTTCATTATGTTTCTCTTTAGATTATGGATTATGTCCTGCCACCTTTAATTTATTTGGTCTTCAGTCAAAATGGTAAATATACAGACACATCAATTAAGACACTCCTTTTGCTTTAATTAGATACAATTGTGATGTGTGGTGTGTTTTTACATTGACTTTTCTAGTGGAATGGAGACTTTTCAGCTTGCGGTTGCTCACAGAAACTACTTCGCTTCTTCTAAGCCACAAGGTCGTCACTGAAGAGAAAGAGAATCTTAACTCAAACAACAAACTTCTATGCCTCATTAGGAACTCATTGTTGCCTCAGTAAGTACCAAATTAAACCTGATTGTATGCAGTCACCTATCGAATATACCTATGCTTTTCTAAAAATATAGCTTGGTTTTTATGGCAAAAGTATGACAGATGCTAATTGTGATGAGGTATAGCATATTTTCATGCTGGTCATAATGTAAGAAGTTGATAGGACCTTTTCACCTTACTTATATATTTAGTGCATTTATGGGCAAAGATTGAGAGACAAGATGAATGGACTGATGGATAGATGTATAGATAGAGGTATATTCATATATTGAAAAGTTCCTTGTAAACATTAGCAGATAGTGAAGCCGCTGGGAGAGATCATTCGGGGCTTTGGGGTGGAGTTCCATCAGTACGCTGATGATACTCAGCTGTACATCTCCACCCCAGGTCACCCCAACGATGCCCTTGACGTGATGACCCGTTGCCTGGAGGCCGTACGGGTCTGGATGGGGAGGAACAGACTCAGACTCAACCCTTCCAAGACCGAGTGGCTGTGGT